TCTCATTTCAGTCTCAGTGCAAATGTCACCTCCTGCAGGGCAATCCTGGGCCCAATGGCCTAGTTCTTACACACACGCACATGCTCAAAGTAACTACAGAGACCTTAGTCTTATAGGCTTACTGCCGATAGCATGTCTGGGCTGCATTACACAGTAAGTGAAAATAACCACTGTACCAGGCCTTCCATGAAGTACGACATATTTTTAATGGCTGTATGATTTTTTTTTTTTTCATTTTTTTTTCAACGCGGACTATGGCAGGTGTGGTCTGATTCACAGCATCTGATACCCCCTTGCTGTATGTACCACCTACAGGTTTGGGAAGTCAACTCCACTTCCCAGAAAGTCATCGGATTCAAGAAAACTGAAAATAAGAAAAAGGAGCTGCCAGGGTGTACAGCAAGGTTTTCAAACACATGAAACCTGTGTATCATAAGGCAGGAATGCGTTTCGGGGAGAGGGAAGGGAAGCTCAGCCAGGAGCCGGGCCAGCCTATAGGCTCCTGAGGGCCTGACTCGAGTCCTGGCACGAAGAGTGGGCTGGGTCTCACCTCTGAGTGGCCGATTTCCAGACTCCGACCAGGAAGGCACCCACGAGCCAGTGATAATAGAGAAGGGAAACCAGTTTCTAAGTGTTCTCGTGTGTCAGTCCTGCCGGCAGAGCTGGCCACTTGCCAGAGCCCACCCGAGGATGTGATGTGTGGGGACTGGGTGCAGACGGGCCCTGGCCACAACCAGCACGGGGGACTTCCAGCCACTTGGTGTTTTTGCCGAGCGCTTACCCTTGAGGAATGATATCTTTGTCCCAGGGAATTTCTACACTCACGGAAGGGCATTTCCCCCGCCTCAGACAGACAGTGGAGGCTCATCGGCTCCATCAGGCAAAACACAGTTCCCGAATGCCTCCTCGATGCTTGCATGGGTTGGAAAACCCAAATAAGAACACGATCCCAGGCCGCTACTGCTCATTTGCTCCCGAATAGTAACAATGGTGATAGAAGAGTAAACAGCCAGTCTTTGTGGAGCACCGACTCTGGGCCAGGCCCAGTGCCACACGATGATAAATAGTATTTCTTAATGCAGCAGCCATGCCAGTATGATTACCTAGTACACGGACACCGCACCTTACCTGGAGCCCCCCGAGCTAAGCAGCAGAGACACGGCACGCGAGCCCTTCTCTGTCCAACCCAAGCTGTCCCAAGACACATGGGCGGCGACATATGGCAGGTAAGCAGCGACTCTCCATTTCTAGATGGGCCTCCCCCATAGGTGGGCAGGAAATGGTTTATTTATTCATTTAACAAATACTGATTGAGAGCCTCCTCAGCGTCAGAATTGTGCTCAGCCCAGAGGAAAGAGAAGTTAATAAAACACACAGTGCTTCCTCCCCTTAAGGAGCTGACCTTCTAATGAGGGGCCGGATGGTGGTAATAAAGTAAACGCGCATTATGTCATTATGTGCGCATGTGAGTGATAAATGCAGAGGAAAGAGTGGGGAAGGAGGCTAAGTGTGTGTCACTTTTGAGTGGGAGGCCTGGGAAGGTGACATCTGAGAAAAGGCCTGAAGACAGAGCGGGACCAGCCCCCCATTACTTGGGTGAAGAGATTTCTAGGCAGAAACCTTGAGGAACTCCCAAAAGGTCTGCAGGCTTGACGTGGAGTGAGGAACAAGATCAGCGGCAGAGATGAGGCCAAAGAGTATTGGGGTGGAGAGGCCCAGGGTGGGAAGAGGCTTTCGCCTTTGTTCCAGGCAAGATGGGAGCCGTGGGGGGTTCTGAGCTGAGGGAGACACGACAGAAGGTATTATGCCCCCCACCCCCACCCCCGCCAGGTTAACAAACAGGCTGGGATCATCTGGGCAAGAGGGGCTGGTGGCCTGGAGCGGGGGCTGGCCGTGGAGGTGGTGGATGAGGCATGGTCAGAGCCTACGTCTCCACTGATGCGGTGGAGTTGGAGCTTCTGCCCATGGCTTGCAAGAAAGTTCTGGCCTGATCAACAAGGAGAAGCCAGCTGATACTCACAAAGGGGGTGCAGGGCCTGGAGGAGCAGACTGTGGGGCCCACGGGGAGCTCAGTTTGGCCACTTTGTGTTTAGGTTGCCTGTCAGAGTCCACCTGGATGCGTCCAGCGAGTAGCCATACAGACTTCTCTGCTAGAAAGACCTTCCTCATCCTCTTGGGCAGGCCCACACCTCCCAGGCCCCAGTGATCCCCCCAGACCTGTCAGGCTCTCTCCCTGTCTCTTCTCCCCATCCTCCGTCACCTACTCCTTATCCCACACACCCTTGATTCTGGGTCTTCCTCTCTTCAAGGAAGAGTCTGGGTCTTCCTTCTCTTCTCCCTCCCACCCCCCACCCCGTAAGAATTCCTCTGCTGCTCTTGCGGTCTCCAAGAAGCATGTAGGTGGTTTTCAGTTTCCTCTCTAATTCCCAATGCATATTCCACTCATTCACCCATTCAGCAAATTAAGTACACCCTCTGTGCCAGGCACGTGTCTAGAGAACTTGGTCTGTGACGGAGCTACTCATCCTTTAAATAACAGAAAGAGTCAAAAGGCCTTTTTAAATACGGAAGTCCATGATCCCTTATAACAATGCTGATATCCAAAAAAGCTCTGAAAACTGGAAATTTTTTTGTAAATGTGGCACAGACAAAATCTGACCTGAACTGGCTTGAGGTTGTTTCTGGTCCTTATCTACCCATTTGGTGGGAATACTCATGCAGCCTGGTGCGGAAATATGGATGTCTTTGCTGGGTGCATCTGAAACCCCTGGCTTCAGCCACAGGGTCAGGATTTACACCTTCCTGCCCCCAAGTTTGGCGAGGGTCCCAACTAGCAAGATGATTTCTCTGGGAACTTTCCTTGCCTTTTAAATAGTTCACATTTTACAAGTAAGTAGGTGTTGGGGGGGGGCACATTATTTAAATAAGTGGTCACCTTGCAGTTAATTAAAAAGAGTCAAATAGATTATGGTAAGATACGGTTCCTACTGGCCTTGGAATTTTACGAGCAAAACAACCACAAGTGCCTATAAAAATCCCACCAGTACATTCAAGATTTTGACTCTGTAATAATAACTAAAGTTCAATTAATTAAATATTGACGAATAAAAATTAACTGTAACTCAAATCTGGAACTACAAATTAGCTCAAAGGAATGAGATCCAGATAAACAATTTCCCAGCATCTGCATTTCTGGTGAATGGCTCCATCCCAGCCATGCTTCGGTGATAAACATGGCTAAAAGACGAATATTAAGGTAATGTATGTCCTGGGGCACCTGGGTGGCTCAGTAGGTGAAGTGGCTGCCTTCGGCTCAGGTCATGATCTCAGGGTCTTGGGATCTAGCCCCATGGCGGGCTCCCCACTCAGCGGGGAGTTTGCTTCTCCCTCTCCCTCTGTCCCTCCCTTGCTCCATGCTCTCTCTCAAATAAATAAATAAAATCTTAAAAAAAAAAAAAAGGTAATGTATGTCCTTCACCCAGAATGCAAATATCAACAGAATTTCAAAGAACTCATTCTGTTGCCTTGGTGTAATTAATAACTCTGTCCCCCTGCTCCCAGATGCCCCTTTGGAGTATCTGGGCAGTTTATCTGGCACAAAAGAGGAATGTACCTAAAGGCCAAATAATTCAGTTTTGCTTTTACTGCAGAAGCAAACTGTTTCTGAACTCATTCCCAGCCTAAATCAGCCAAATATCACAGGATCACAGAAGCTGTCAGCTTGTCCATCATGTATAGGAAATCTTTTTAAAAAATGACCAATTCCCCTCTGATACTTTACCAGGCCCTTTGGCTGGCGAAGTTAGCCGTGATCAGTGACTAAGGAAAATGGATTCTGGGGGGTTGGGGGGCGGGGAGGGGAGAAGGAGGGGAAGGTGCTCACCATACACTCTCACTTCTCTGGCAAGGGCAGGTGAGAAGCCAACTCTAAGGTTATTCTGGAGTGGGTTCACATTTTTAAACTTGAGTGGGAGAAAGAACAGGTAGCCAGGTCTGATACTCCCAGGACGCAGGGTAAGGGTCTTTATAGAAGCACACAAATAATGTTTCAGAGCATGAAGCCAAAGGATAAAAACATGTTGACAATATGTGCAGGAAAAAAATTAAGGTTTTGTTGTTGCTGTTTGGGTCATTATTATTAGCATAATTATTTAGTTGGGGGAGTCTTAGTTGAAACCGAGAGTCTTGTATAAGGTTTGATATTTTGGATTTGCAGAGATAAAGCTGACTGGGAGGGGAAAAAACTCAGGAAAGTCTGCACTGCTGGTCAATTGCACACGGCAAGAAACAGTTGAGTACAGGCGAGTGTGTTGGGGGGCCGCATAATGAAAACACCCAGAAGCAGGCAGGAGGTCTATGGGGAACGCAGACCTGGACTCCCTCCCTCATTCCTGCAGGGCAACCAGGAGGTTAAAATTAGGACGGTGAACCACCCCCGCCTCCGCTGGAATGGCAGGGGCACTTGGCCCCAGGGGCCCTTGAAATAGCCACCAGGATCGGGAAACCTAACTTTCCTAGTGCAGCAGTGAGAACAGCCAACGGGGACCGAGCCGGAGGGAGCCCCTGGCTTCTCAGGACAGGAAAGAAACAGAGTATGGGGGGGGGGGATCTGTGTGTGTGTGTATGTGTGTGTGTGTGCCGGAGTGCGCTTTGGAGGGGGCTGGGGTTCAGGGGTGGGGTTTACATTCACATACACGCACTCACACAGTCTCAGGAGAAAATGTCACCGAGCAGTTTTGGGCCACAAGTTAGGCTCTTTAAACAAAATAAATAACATTAAAAAAAACCCAAAAACACAACTTCTGGTGAAACTCTTCTCGCTTGGAGATCAGTCCAAATGGGGGAGCTGCGGCTGTGCGAAGGGGCTTCCTGAGCGGGGAGGAAACACTGGCGGACCCAGGATCCCCCAAACTCAGGAATGTGGGGTTCAAAGGGAGAGAGGGGAGGAGTGTCCGAAGAGCCTTAACCACGAGGATTTTTGGTAAAGAGGTGAGAAACGGGTCCCTGGGAAGTCCGATTCTCGGTGAGTTTGTGGCGAAAAAGTGTGCGGGGGGGGTGTTTTTCCCAAGACAAGCGCATCGACTTTCGGGTAAACAGTGAGAAAAGGGTTCCAGGGGAGCCCTCAAACTCACAATTCTGGGGGGGTCAGAACGAGAAGACGGTCCCCAAGACACCCCAAATCCAGGAAATTGGGGCAAAGGTGAAAACGAGTCTTCCAGGCCCTCCTGATTCAGAAGTCTGAGGTTAGGAGTGAGAGTAGAGCCCCCGGGAACCCCAATTGCAGAGATTTGGGGAGTAAAAGAGAAGAGGGGTTCGCAGGAGCCCCCAATTCTGGGAGTTTAAGGCAAGGGTTTGAGATGGTTTCAAGAAGTTGAGAGAAAGTGAGAGAGGGGTCTCTGGGCGCCCCAACTTAAGGATTTAGGGGGGAAGTAAAAGAGGTTCCCAGGAGCCCCAGTTCAGGGAGTTTGAAGATAAAAGTTTGAGGGGTCCCGGGGCACACCCAATTCGGGGGCTTTTAGGGTAAGAGTGAGACAGGGATCTCGGGGGCCCCCAACTCAGGAAGTTTTCTGAAAAGTGAGGCGATGGGTTCCCACCTGCCCCCGAGTTTGGGTAATGGGTCGGGGGGTGGTTCCCAGACTCCCCCAAACTCGGCCGCGCCTGCGGAACTGGGGTGAAGAGACGGGTCCCGCGGGCGCGCCATCCCGGACGTTTGGGGTGACCGGCGAGGGCTGTGCCGCCCGCCTCCCGACCCCCCGATCCGGATCCCCGCCGCCCCCCGCACTCCCGGGTCGGGCCGGGCCCGGGGCGGTCGCATCGGTCACCTGGAGTTCGGGCCGGGAGTTCGGGCAGCGGCTCCCGCGGCGGCAGCAGCGGCTGCTGCGTGTTGGTCCCCGTTGGTAAGTAACAGTCTCCACGGCTACAGTCTCTATGGCGGCGGCGGTGGCGGCGGCGGCCGCTCCTCCTCCCGCTCC